CTTAAAGCTGCAGTAGGTAATTTTTATAAAAATATGTTTTCTCTTGCAAATACCATTAGGAGCAATAGTCAGAGGAACCTGATTTTTTCACGGATTATCTGTCTCATGTACTACTGTCAGGATATAGTTAAAGTTTTAGTAAATATGACAAGAAGTCATTTTTTTAATAAAAGTTCCCTACTACAGCTTTAAAGGTACTATAAATCAAAGATTAAAAAAGAAAAGAAAACTTCACATAAGTGAGAAAATAAGTATTTAAAATTGGGGAAGTAAGAAGATATGCATGAATTATAAAAATAAAATCCTCCAGTCCAATGTCAAGTGAAGACGGTGGAAATAACTTCACTGCTGACGTCAGACCGGTGTGAGCGTGTTCGGCAGTAAAGAGGAAGTGTTCTGTGGACTCACAGCCACTCTGCTAGCTTCGTTGTGTAAATAGGACACTGAGGATACTCTGTGTGGACACGCTGTCTGGTGATCATTAGTGTATGAAAATAGATTACATGGAAAGTGTCATAAATACATCATGTGGCAGGGTGTCAGCAGTTAGACACATACAGTATCTCTGTTGTAGAAGGAGCACGGTGGCGTGTGTGCGTGCGTGTGTGCTCCTGTGGCTGGATGCTTCATGAAGATCTGTCTGTCTGTCCAGCCACGTTCATCACGTGTATCTACAGATATCACTGTTCAAATGGTGTTTGCTAAAATTCTCCTCTCCTTGCTAAACTATTGGGAGTGGAGGCTAACTGCTGGCTGCCTAGAAACTTTGGGAGGCTAGTAGAAAGTTGCGTGTGCTATTAGTCTGAACGGAAATGCTAAGAATGGAGGTGGAGCCACAGAGCAACGTTGTGTTTGTGTCTCATAGTTCAGTTCGGAATCTCCTGCTCTGCTGCTTCCTCTTTAACCGAGTCATCTTCCTCCGGCTGCTCCTCTTCCTCCTGCAAACACATGACGTCACATTTAAACAAGTCAGCGTGAGCAATGAACGAAAAAATAAGCTGACCCTTCGTCACTCGACAACACACTCTAAGTTTACCTCATATAGCTCTGGCTCATTCGTGCTTAAAAGGTCCAGTGTGTAGGATTTAGTGGCATCGTGAAATGCCTTATCTAGAACCAGTGTTTGGTTTGTCCCTTCTGGACTACTGTAGAAAAATGCCTGTTTCCGGTGGAATTTTGCAAATACCATTAGGAGGAGCATGTACTTCTGTCAGGATATAGTGAAAGTTTCAGCAAATGTATATATATAAAAACATTTTAATAAAAACTACTTACTGCAGCTTTAAGTTTCATTAATCAGGCTGATGGTATTGGATCCACTGCATTTTATTTAAAGATGAATAATGAACAGAAAACATGTTAGCTAGTGTATTGCTCACCTTAAATTTAAACCAGTGTTTTTACCTTCATTCTGCTGTATGAACAGAACATACACTTTCTGTAAATGACAAAACAAATGTGTATGTGAGTTTTACAGCCGAGAAAAAGAAAGTGACACACAGAGAGCAGGAGTCATGGTGGGCCAACCAAGGAGCCAGCTGATTTAGTAAAGCAGACAAAGTGAAAGTGACAGTGGTGAGAGCTGCAGCGGTGATTAAACGACTCTGACAGATACAATTATCCCCCCTCCAGAGGTTAATGAACACATCTACACACCAGAATGTGTGATCACCGGGTTAGGATCTGCAGCCCACAGCACCTCATGAATCCACATCCCTCCAGCTAGCTGAGAGCACATATTAGTGAGGTTCTAATTCTCTGTCAATCAAGCCTGCTTTCACTGTTGTGTTCTCACATCAATGTACAGATATTGTAAACTTTTCTTAACAGACTCATCCTCGCACAGACTGGTCCACGCCAACATAAAAATGTTCAAAACTGCATCCAAAAAACAAAACCCATACTGTGAGTGATTGTTGTCTTGTAAGGCCGATCCACAGGGAAGCTGTTAATACTCCAGTGTGTCCTGACTGTGAACTCGCTAATTAAAAATCTCTTTGTCTTTGAAAAGATGAGCTTCAGAATACATCTTTTAACAATAGATTGTATGGGGAAATTTCATTGGCTGGCTCATTTCATATTAGACTGTCGTGCAAAAAGCACATAAATGTTTATGTTCATGTTTTTTAGGGTTGTAAATATCTGCAAATGTATAACAATAGCTCTTCATTTCAAGCTGTTAAGTAAGTTTAATGAGTCCAGGGACCAGATGCATACAACTCAGATTCACCACTAAAACTGAGAAATATGCATTCTGCTTGTCAGATTTATAAAGCTGCACGTACGCCTGATTCTGTTTTCTGATTCTGCACAAGCTTAATTTCCTCTCCCGCAATTATTCGTAAATAAATGTAGAAATGCCCTAAAACACACTTGTGTCCACTCCACCACTCACTGGACCTGTCAATGGAAGCAACAGCAAAATTAAAAAGATTATTCGCAATTAATTACACATTTTTATCTATTCTAAATGTCCCTTGATTTCTTTTT